AGCCTGTACTGGTGCATGAGGTTGTTCCTCCCCAGGTGCAGGACCCTGCATGTGGCTTTGTTGAACCTCATCAGGTTCCTGTCTGCCCAGCTTTCCAGCCTATCCAGGTCACGCTGAACAGGCGGTGGGTGAACTAGTCCAGAGGAGCACCAGTGTCACGCGTGTAGCTCGTGCAGGAGCCCACTGCTTAAGCCTAGACTTTTCCCAGCAAAGATATAATTCTGTCAATTTTTTACAAAAATACTCTTTTTAAGTGTTCTCCACCAGCAGGTAAAGAAAATACCTCTGGAGGTGCGATGCGGTGACTGCACTGTGTGCCTGACACAGGCTGCACCGCAGCGCTGCGTCCAGCTGCCCGATCCACGCTTAACCCAGCCCAGCCCCGCAGCCGCCCTTCCGTCCCCGCTGGGCTGGGAGAGGTGGGATGCTCCCGCTCCCGTGGGCTGGGCAGCAGAGCCCTTCGAGCCCCCGGGCTGCTGAAAGCAACCTGTTTGCTGATTTTTCCAACAGCGAAGCTGCTTCTAAAAACATGCGTACGTGGTATTTTAAGGGGCTGTCCCCAGCCAAGTGAGCTGTTTGTGGGTGTCTGGTGTGGACCTCACTGGGGTGGGATGGGAAAGGGAGGAAAGGGAGCTGGTTCTGCAGAGCATCGCCCCGCGGCACTGCCGGCACCCCGGAGCGGGAGCTCTCCCGTGCTGCTGGCCCTGGTTCCTGTGTTGCTGCTGTCGGTTAAAAAGGAATCTTGTTTCAGGTTAATTTAGCCCTGTTCCCAATCACAACAAGCTGAAGTAATCTAATCTGCTGAGAAACCCTCGCTGGAGACTTTGCCTTGCTGGAAACAAGTTTGTTTAAATCAACACTGAAAGCTGAACTAGTGGCAATTCCTCACGTGTTTGTGAAGTATCATAGCAAAGGCACTCGGAGGAGAGCGAGGCGGCCAGGAGCATCCCTCGCAGCTCCGCAGCCTGGCTGCCTGCCGCCGCCCGCCTTCACGGCTCCCTTTTAATACCTCTTCTCTAAAGACGTCCAGTCCAGCACAGTTTGAGCACTGTTTGCAGCGGCAAATATGAGAGTGAGCGTGTTTTGCTGCTGGCTGTCTAGTTTATTTCTGTTAGCAGGGCGTTGACACGCGGGTTGCAGTGTCCGCAGGGACGTTTCTGGGGTCAGCGTGGTGTACGAACGCGGGGACAGCGTCTGTTTCTTGCAATGAAATGTTTATTCGGTGAAACCCTTCACCTTGTATAGCGACAGCGGGGTCCTGACTGAGGACAGAGCTGATGACCTGGTCGCAAAGCAAAAATTCAGGGGCTTATTCCCAGGGAAAATGACATTTCTGGCTTTCCATCAGGGGGACGGGGCATCTCAGGGGGGAAGGTGGGAGCGTGCAAGGCACCGGCCCAGGAACTGCATGAAGGAGCCACTGCTGCCTTTGCCCCTTCGCCTTCCCCACAACCCACCGTGCCCGGGGACCGCAGGGCGATCATGCTGGGAGCAGACGCCCACCCTGAAAATCAGGCACCAGCACGTGCCCGGCCGCTGGAGTGGCTCTAGGGTTGATTGGAGAGCCGGGGTCATATCAGCTAGAAATGCTAATTGCTTCTCATCATGGTGGGACGTTAATGAGCTGTTCGGTTCCTCCGTTAGCAGCTGCCGGAGCGTTGCACGGGTGTGCTGGGCCGGTGGTGATGCCGCTCTGACCTCTCTGTTTCAGCCGGGGCTGGGGGCTGTGCCTGGATGACCCCCCCGCCCGGGAGGTGCTGGACTACCCCTTGGTCCCCCCGGGTGTCCTCTACGACGTGGGCCACCAGTGCCGGCTGCAGTACGGCGCCTACTCCACCTTCTGCGACGACATGGACGTAAGTTGGGGTCCCCCCCGACAAAACACGGGCTCGTGCGGCTCCGAAGGGCTCTCTGGGGGTGGGGGGCTGTGCACGGGGCGATCCTCTCCCTGCAGATGAAATTTGTGCCGACGGGTTGGCCGTTGCAGTAACCACGTCCTGCGCAACCGTGTTTTCTGCAGAGCGTCTGCAACACGCTGTGGTGCACGGTGGGGAACACGTGCCACTCCAAGCTGGACGCTGCTGTTGACGGCACGGCGTGCGGGGACAGCAAGGTAACGGGGAGCAGTCCCCTCCGCGGCTGCCGAGACTCCGTGGTCTGCAGACGGGGGGGTTTCGCAGCCTCCAGCACACGGGGACAGGCTCAGTCGCTGCCCTCGCTCTGCCCAAACGCCCACCGCTGCCAGGGGGGGACTGAAGCTGAAGATGCCTGAAGAAGGTGAAACCCGCTCTTAATTCCCACGGCGGGAGAGCAGAAGGCTTGTTCTGCTCTCCATCTGCGGCGGTGGCCGGTGCTCGTCTCTGGGAGATGCGAGGGGGCATCTCTCCCTGCAGCGCGGAGGGTCCGGCTGCGCCCACGGCAGCTCGGTGGGTGCTGCACCGGGCACAGGGTGCAGAGGGGAGCAGCTCTGCGCAGCCAGCTCCAGTCACTCTTCATGGGTGACGCTGGCTCCGGTACCAGGGCAGCCCTGGGACAGAGCCCACGTACGTTGCTCTTCCAGAACAGGGTTTTCCTGCCCGGGGTAGCAGCATCAAACTATGGAGTTATAAAAATATCTGTAGACGTCTCTCCTCGTTCGGTTCAGTGTCCCCTCCTGAAGCCCTGGCCCCAGAGCAGCAGGGGTGACGCTGCCCTTAGCCCCCGCTCCCTGCGAACCCTCCTGCCTGCCTTAGTCCGTGGCTGCGCCCTGCTGGTGCTTCCATTTGGGCCGAGGTCAGGCTGTGAATCCACCTGCTGAGGGGCCTCGGTGGAGGTTTGGGTCTGTTGCCCTGGGCAAACAGCCCAGCATCTCTGAATTTCCCACCGCTTAGAGGTGTGTTGGGCTCTGGCAGAGCCCAGCTGACCCCCAGGCACCTCTGTGCGAGCAAAGCATGGATTTTCACGGGGCGATACGGGTGCTGGGCTTCAGTGCTCCCCGCTCTTTGACTCAACATGAATTATTGCATCCTTAAACCTTGTTTTCTCTTCTTCTGGCCTGTCCCCCTGCAGTGGTGCTTCAACGGCGAGTGCGTGCCGGTGGGTTACCGTCCCGAGGCGATCGACGGCGGCTGGGGCTCCTGGAGCTCATGGGCTGCCTGCTCGCGCAGCCGCGGCGCGGGCGTGCAGAGCGCTGAGAGGCAGTGCAGCAGCCCCACGTAAGTGAGCCCTCGCTCCCCGGAGCTCCCCCGAGCCCTGTTTAGGAGAGGAACCCAGCGCTTCCCTGTCACCCCGTAGAGCCGGGGACCATCACCTGGCCGGTGCGGTCCTTCCCCTGTCTGCGTCGCGCGGCAGATGTGCGCTGTTGGCAGTTCGCAGTCCGAGCAGCTCTGGGGGTTCGTTCCCCGGGGTGACCCAGCCGGCCGGGCAGCAGCAGCCTCTGGGGCGGGCAGGGTTTGCTCCGTCTCCTTCCACAGGCGCGTCGCTCCCACCCCGTGCAGGCAGCGAGCCGCTGAAGGCGACTCAACGAGCAAAGACTCCGTGCTTGCAGATGTAAAACATTGCCAGTGTCCTTCAGTGACAGAAAAGAAAAACAGGCGTTCTTTGAGCCTGACTCAGAGTCGTTTTGAAATATTCTGCTGCTGTTTATCACCCCGTTGCATTCCATGGGCGATTTCTGATCTGTGCCCAGCCAGAGGCTGCCTCCCCCCCGCCTGCCAGCGCCGGCTCTGCCTGGAAGCGTCCGGGCACCGACGGAGGAGCCGCCTTGTCCATCCCATACTTTCTGGGCCGACTGCTCTG